GGAATTTGTGAAGAAGGAGGTCGCCATGCTTCTTTCTATCAACCACGTCAAGGAGGTGAAATACCCCTCATGGCTGGCAAACGTAGTCTTCGCACAAAAACCGCCCTCATTCCGCATGTGCGTGGACTACACGGATCTCAACAAGGCATGTCCCATGGACCCCTTTCCTCTGCCCAATATTGATCAACTGGTGGATGAAACCGCGGGGTGTGAAATCATGTCATTCCTCGACGCTTTCCGCAGATATCATCAAATATACATGCATGAGGAGGACGCTGAAAAACAGCCTTCATGACTCCCGAGGGCATCTTCTGCTACCTTGTCATGGCCTTCGGCCTAAAGAACTCAGGCGCCACCTACACTCGGATGGTGCCTAGGGTATTCCAAGCTGTCCTAGGGCACACCATGGAGGCATATGTTGACGATATGATCGTCAAAAGCAAGCAGTCAGCAAGCCATGCTGACGACCTGAGGGAGATCTTCGCCATCATGCAGAAGTTCAGCCTTCGGCTGAACCCAAAGAAGTGCACCTTCGGCATCCAGGGGGGCAAATTCTTGGGCTACATGGTGAGCCGAAGGGGTATTGAGGCCAACCCCGAGAAAATCCAGGCTGTCATCAACATGGAGCCCCCACGCAACGTGAAAGAGGTCCAACGGTTGACGGGCCGCCTGGCAGCCCTCAACCGCTTCTTATCAAAATCGGCGGAGAAGTCCTTACCCTTCTTCCAGATCATGAGGAAAACCGCCGGTTTCCAGTGGACTTCGGAATGTCAGGGGGCATTCGAGGAGCTGAAACGATACTTATCTTCACCCCATGTGCTCTCTAAACCCAAGGTAGGGGAAATCCTGTACCTCTACTTGGGTGTTAGCCCGGCCGCCATCAGCTCTGTACGGCGAGGGCAGCCACGGACGAGGAGCCCTCGGCCCCCTCAGATGACTGGTGGACCCTCTACACCGACGGCTCCTCCGCCATCAAGGCATGCGGAGGAGGGGTGGTTCTCATCTCACCCGAGGGCTTCCGGGCCTATTATGCAGTCCGTTTCTCCTTCAAAGTCTCCAACAATGAAGCCGAATACGAGGCTCTCCTCTGTGGCCTTCGGATGGCAGCTAACATGAAGGCCCGACAAATCCACGTCAAGTGCGACTCCAAGTTGGTCATCGGCCAAATCTCCGGGGAGTACGAGGCCAAGGGAGGGAGAATGAAGCAATACAAGGAGGCGGCCAAGGAGTTGCTTAAGGTATTTGAGGCACACTCTCTTACTCAAATACCGAGGGCTCAAAACTCCGAGGCCGACATTTTATCAAAGCTCTCGGCGGAATCCCCTGAGCATATCTCCAAGATCGCCAAAATAGAAGAACTCAGCCTCTCCAGCATACATACTAGCCTCGTCATGAGCATACAACAAAGACAGGAGGACTGGATTTCAGACATTGTTGCCTTCATCACCACAGGGCAATTTCCCGAGGAGGAGGCCCGCGCCAAACTGACAAAACTGAGGGCTCCCAGCTACGTTATCGAGGACGGAAGGCTTTACAAAAGATCCTACAACGGGACATTACTTCGGTGCCTTCATCAAGATGAAGCCGAAGTACCAATGGAGGAAGTACATAGTGGTACTTGCTCAGCTCACCAGGGACCCTTCTCCATGTCCCGAAGGCTAATAATCCAGGGCTACTTCTGGCCTACGATGGCCCGGGATTGTGCGGACCTTGGCCGGAGGTGCCCGGCATGCCAGCACTTCCAGAAAGCCCCCAGCAGGCCAGCGGTCAACTATGCCCCCATCAGCACATCCATACCCTTCGCTCGATGGGGCATAGACCTTGTGGGCCCTCTGCCGAGGGGTACCTCCAACAACAGGTACATCATTGTCGCCATCGATTACTTCACCAAATGGGTGGAAGCAGAGCCCCTCGCCAGCATCACTGAGGCCAGGTGCCGCCATTTTGTTCTTAAAAACATCCTCACTAGGTTTGGCGTCCCTCAGCAAATCATCTCCGACAACGGGACTCAATTCGAGGCAGCCCCCTTCTGTGCCCTCTTAGAGGCATGGGGCATCAAACACACCTTTTCATCCGTTGCTTACCCTCAGGGCAACGGTCAAGTGGAGAACGCCAACAGGACCCTGCTTGAGGCCGAAGGGGGTGGTTGGGTGGAAGAGCTACACAACATCTTATGGGCCTACCGTACCACCCCTTGGCGGGCAACTAGCGAGACACCCTTCTCCCTTTGCTACGGATTTGAAGCTAAGGCCCCCACTGAGGTAACCCTCCCGACCCGAAGGGTCACCCAGTATGATCCGGAGGCCAACGACACCAATATGGACCTCGATCTCCACCTTATTTCAGAACGCCGGGAGCAAGCCTTCATACGCGCAGAGAACTACCGAAGGCAGGTGAAGAGCTACATCGACGCCAAGGTTCGCTCCCGGGAATTCCAAGTGGGGGACTATGTCCTCCGAAGAAGGGAAGCTAGCCAACCAACCGAGGGTGGAAAGATGGCACCAAAGTTCGAGGGCCCCTACATCGTGGCAACCATCATCAAACCCGGAACTTACAAGCTAAAACGCCCTAACGGGACTGAAGTCCCTAGGCACTAGAATGCACATCACTTAGTTAAATTTTATCAATAACATCAGAGCGGCCAAGCCCTCATAACTAGTGAATGTATTATTTTACGGCCCAAGGCCTGAGAATTCTGAAGAATGAAGGCGTTTTGAAGACACCACGGAACAAGATTATCACAAGGGCCAAGCCCTCATATCACCCCAGGCCCAAGGCCTCACCACCATAGAAGAACCCTCGGCACCAAGTGCCGAGGGTAGACAATATTATCACCTACGACAAAGCGCCACCTGTCCCCAAAAAAAATATACCCCTCGGCACCTGGTGCCGGGGGGACACATCACTCGCAGCTTTCAACAAATGAGGGGAAACACCAAGTGTTCCCACAGAATACCCCTCGGTACCAAGTACCGAGGGTAGACACCACAGTCCCCTACGACAAGTGAAGAAAAAACGCCAACTATTTCCAAAGGAGACCCCTCGGTACCAAGTGCCGGGGGCCGTACATCGGAACAAACACCAAGTGTTGTTTCTTAAGCCGTACCCCTCGAGGACGCCTATACCGAAGGCGCCACCTATCGGTGTCGGCAGCACGTAGTGCACCCGGCCATTTGCAATCAGTGTGCAAGTGAAAACCCTTCCCTGAAACGCTTTCCGCGTCATCACCCCAAGGGTATGACAGGCATGAGAAATGCCGAGGATTCGACTTTCAAAAACAGAACTCTTTCCGCGTCATCACCCCAAGGGTATGACAGGCACGAGAAATGCCCAGGATTCGACTTCCAAACCGAAACGCTCCCCGCGCCACCACCCCAAGGGTGTGGCAGGCCACGGACTATGTCTAGCACCGAGGGGACGACTTTCAAAACTGAGGCGCTTTCCGCGCCATCCCCCAAGGGGAGGTAGGCTACGGACCACCATATCTTCTGGCCAGGAAACGACCCTCGATCCCCTCGGAACTCGGAAGGTTAACCCGAGGGGGGAGCTATTGGTGTATTCTGTTACCTCCCGATAGGCCAAGCCTTACCAAGAAACCAAATTTCTTGAAGCCTTCCCTTCACTACTCAAAAAAAAAAGGTGGTGAAGGGGAGTAGACTCAGCGAGAAATCAATGAGTACATCACTCGAACAATTCACAAAAACATACCGAGGGCTCCCCACAGGAACACCTTCGGTACCTGGAAGTTCACAAGTACAAAGGATACCATTCACAACAAGCATCATCAATGAATGGCTAAGTCCACTCAAGGATTGCCTTCGGCTACACCTGAAACCGAAGGTTCAAATACTACAAAACACGGCAGGCTCAGCCAACAACAACTCAAAGCGTCCCCGAAGGCTACCACATAACAAAACTATCAAATTGTGGCCAAATCAAATCAAGAATCCCCTCCGGCACCTCACTACAAGCCGAGGGGATATAACAAACATTCGAAGGCTTTTATTGCCCCAAGCCAACATCACAAGGCAAAGGAAACTATCCTAAACATACAACGCCTACAACCGAAGGGTCCTCCCCCGAAGGCCAGCGGCAGGAAATACTTGGAATAACTAGTCTAAGTCCTAAATGCTTTGCCCCTTGTGGAGCCATCAGTCAGCCGAAGGCATATCTGAGACAAGGCCTTCACAGTCACCCGAGGGCTCCTACTTCACACATACTACACTTAGAAAAAATTTCTAAGTCCTACAAATTTTGGCCCTCGGTTAAATCTCCATGCTGCCCGAGGGGCCATGCAGTTGAAAATCTGGTGAAGCTACACTTAGGGAAATTTTCTAAGTCCTACATACTTTGACCTTCGGTCAAATCTCCATGCTGCCCGAGGGCTCCTACTTCATACATGCTACACTTAGAAATGTCTCTAAGTCCCAAAAGTTCTTACCCTCGGTGACAAGTTTCTAAGTCTCGAATCTCCCTGCAACCCGGGGGGTCACACGATTGAAGGCTTGGTGACACTACACTTAGAAATATTTTCTAGGCCCTAACTATTGCTGGGCCCTCGGGCATACATTCAAAGAAGGGCGAAGGCATACATTCAAAAGAAAACGATGGCATACATCCGAGAAGAAATGAATTAAAGAGAAACACATTATATACCAAAAGCCCGGGGGCGAGTATTCATTCACCAAAGAAAATAAATTCAAAGTTACAGAGGGCCGAAGACCGAGGGCACACAAGCATTCGTTACAAAGGGATTGTTCAAAACATGTTAAATCAAAAAAATTACAAGTTAACATTCTCGGGGGCCGTCTCCTCCGATGGCTTCGAAGTGACCTCTGTGCCGGCCTCAGGTTCGTCACCCTCGGCCTCCTTCATGAGCTCGGTGTCCTCTAGATCTGGTCTCTCGACGTCGGAGGGGAGAGGAACACGAACGTCTGGCTGCAGGGGGGGAAGCCCGTATGCCGCCGGGTCGAAATCCTTGGGCTCAATCTTCAGGTGGCGGGCCATCTTCCGGTAAATGAGGGCTTGGGTGAAAAATTCGCCCCCATCATAATACTGCTTGCCCTTTCGGGAAACCCACTCCACACCGGGCCCATCACACCACTCGTCGACCGAGGACTCGACGACCGAGGACAGCCATTGCTTGTGCTCCTCAGCTCACCACCCCATGCCAAGAACCCAGAGATGGCGTCCCCTCGGGCTCTCTCGATGGCCTCCACCTTGGCGGCCTCGGCCTCCCTAGCAGCTCTCTCAAGGGCCACAACTGCGGACCTTTCAGCCTCGGCCTTGCCCCGGTCTGCGGCCTCCGCCCGCAGGGTCATCTGCCGAAGGCTCTCCTCCAGCATAGCCATCTGCCGGATGGCATCGGAATTCTGGCGGATGAGCTCCCGCATCTTGGCATCCTGCTCAGCCTTGCGAAGACGCCACTCCTCTAGCCTCCGGGCCTGCTCTCCGAGGGCAATGCAGGTCTACAAAAATAAAGAAGTTAGGAAGGTCGTGCATGATTTCCTAGCTCAAACTAAAAAAAAAGGGGGGGGGGGGGGTAACTGTCAAAAACCTACCGTGAGGGAAGACCGGAGGATCCTGTCCTCAAGAGCTTGATCATCATCAGCCCCGAGGGCTGCTCTGTCAATCTCGGGGGTTATACCCCTCAGGAGCACCCTCGGGTCAGCCGTGCCATTCATCACGGCCGTACCAACCGGGAGGGTAACCGTCAGGACCTCGGAAGACAGCTCCCGGGCGCCCCCGGCACTTCGGCCATCTTCATCTCCTCGTGCACCCCGGAGGCGAGGCAATCGTCGACAATGACCACTGGGGGACTTTTCTTCCCGGCATCCCCGGTCTTGGGCTTTTTGTTGTCGGGAGCCTTGCCCGCGCCTTTCCTCTTGGCAGCAGCAGCGTGGCCAGATGGCCCCTCCGGCTTCTTAAAGGAGTCACCGGCGGGTTTTGGGACACCAGCATCCGTTCCCCTCGGGGCCTTGGAGGACTTTTTCTTCTTCAAGTCAGCGAGCCCCCTGACGTTCATCATGTTGACTGGGATACCTGCAAAACAGTATGGGGTTAAAACCGAGGGGTTACTAACAGATGGCACAAAAAAAGAAACAAACAAACAGATGAACTATCTGCTAAGATATAAAAATGAGGGTGCCCTCAGCCACTACCTTCGGAGGCTCCCTCAAACACCGGGAACTTCTCATCTGTTTCCCCCAGGAAGTGGTACCGCCGGAACCCGAGGGTGTAGAGATCCTCCTCTTTGGTGCACTCCTTAATGGTTATATTTTTGTCCCGACCCTCCGGAATCTTGGCCAGGATCCTGCCGTCTTTCTCGAGGGCGGCGCTCCTCCTCTTCTCGTGCCTCCTGAACCGGTCACGCAATTCCCTCGGGAAGGGGCTCTCGGTCAGCTTCACATAGCACCACCGGTCTTTCCACCCTTTGTTCGAGGAGGGCGCCTCGGTAAAAAGTTTGAACAGGGCCACCTGCTGCAAGTTTGCGAAGCCCTCGGCATTCGCATGCCCCCCCCCCCCCCCCCCGGCACAGATTGAAGCTCTGTAAGAAGAGATCCAGGCTAGGTGTTCCCCTTGGGACTTGCAGAGCTGGAGGAAGCCCGTGATATAGGAATGACTGTTCGGGGTTAGCTGGCAGGGGACCAAACCCACGAACCGGAGGTACTCCCGGAGGAAGGGGTGTAGGGCGAACCGGAGCCCCATCGAAACAGACAGGACATGCACCGCGATGCAGCCCTCGGGAGCCCGGGAGAGGACGTCATCAGGACCCGGTGCCACCACGACGGCCGAAGGGCCCACATGCAGTTGGGTGACATACAGATCCGCCGCATCAGCCTTCGACCTTATTTCTAAGGCGGCTGTATTCAGGTAGGAATACCCATCGGGCATATCGAGGGGCTTCCCTTGGTCAGCAACGCTGCCCTTCTTCTTGGGAGCAGCGACCTTGGCCTTCTTTTTTCCGGGGGCCACCCGGATGGGAACCGCGTTCAGCGGCCGAGAGGTGCTGGCCTCGCCGGTACCCCCGAGGGGGGAGAACAGCAACAGTGACCCTCGCGCCTTCTTTCTGCGCCTCTTCTTCAGCTGCTTGCCAGGCGAGGGCCAGCTCTTCATCCTCACATTCTTGTTCGAAGCCCTCGGCTTCCGCCTCAACAACGAGGGCTTTCTGCAGCTCCAGGGCGGCGACGACATCCTGTCCCACCGAGGACTGTTTGCTTGTGGACTCCACGTCCGAGAAGACTTCATCCCCCATCGAGGGCGCCCCCGAGATGTCCTGGGAGTCACTTTGGGAAGACATCTTGACGCTGGTTCGAAGGCTCGGAAATACAAGGGTTTTCTAAAAGGTTCTATCTTCTAGCCTAAAGGCACAGGGCTCAGCTAACTAGAAGGAGAAGAGCAGGGGGAACTGACCTTAAGGCAGGGATTGATCGAGGGCGGCATGTTTCTCTCTCTACAAAATTTTTGCCAGAGCTTCGCTACACCGAAATCGCACAACGGAGAATGACCCTGGCCTTGGGGTATTTATAGGCGCTGGGATCCGGGCTTGGGCCTGGAAACCGGGCCTCCGGTTGGACTGCCATCATTACAGACCGCAGTTTCGCCCAATCGGTGACGCCCGCCCACGGGCAGCCAACGAGCACGCACCACGTGGCAACCCCCCCAACGGCTATATCCTGACGTTACATATTCCAACGGCTATATTTCCAACGGCTATATTCTGGGAGCCCCCGGGTTTTTTACTTCACTCCACTTCATCAAGGAAAGCCTCCGGGTACTCTTACCCAGAGACGCTCCCGGTTTGTGCCCCACAGACTACATAACAGATGCCTTCGGGATCACTCCTTCAGAAGCCCAAGGCTTCATATCAGGCCACCCCTCGGGGATCCCCCCTCAGCACTCGGAGGGCAGGGTAGCCCCCGGGGAATACGCCTCATTAGCAGACAGCCTACGGCACACAGGTTACAGGAGCCTTCGGATATCCTCCTCACCAGCTAATCAACAAACAGTGGACCCCCCGGTAACAATTCACCTACTAACCGCATTCATTACACCCTCGATCCCCATATTGAGGGACTCCCCTTCGGCGCCTCCCAAGGTATCAAAAGTGAGCCTCCGGCTAATCAACAAATGAGCCCTCAGAACGGGGGAAGCCTTCGGCATCATCATTGTTATCCATTTCGAACCAAGGTTTGACATTTTCGATTCATCGTTGGGGGAATTCGGTGCACTCTTTTTCCCTCATTAGGATTTTTTCCCACACGATTTTTCCTAATGAGGTTTTTATCGAGGCATCCCCCCAAAATGAAACGAAAAGCGTCAGCCTTCGGCCCAAAACAGCAACGCAACTACTCTACTCCTTTTCGCCACTTTGCAAGTGCCTCAAGGAGTGGGGGACTGGAGGACCCCCTCGGGAAAAATCACAAAAATCACAAACATGACCCCTCAAGTCCCGACATGTGGGTAACTGAGGGACTGCCTGTAACACCCCGGCCCCGTAGGCCCTGAGGTAGTTACTTCTGACCTCTAGTACTGTCCTCACAAACCACCACGAGCCTTTACCGCACACTTTGTCCTCACTCGTGCACGCCCTGAAAAAACTTCCCAGGGGGTCACCCATCCCAAGACTACTCTCGTGCAAGCACGCTTAACCTTGGAGTTCTTGGTGATGAGCTCCCTTAAAAGGAGATGCACCTCTGTTGGTATGAGTAGTACTATTAATCCTCTTATATTAATCTCGGGTATTACAATCACCCCCACTTAGGATCGCAACGTCCTCGTTGCGCCCTTAACAATCTCAATCAAACCCCAGAATCTTGCCCCGCTAAGTGCCCGCCCGATATCTAACGAGTCAGTACAATGTCACAAGGTTGCTCTGATACCATTTGTAACACCCCGGCCCCGTAGGCCCCGAGGTAGTTACTTCTGACCTCTAGTACTGTCCTCACATCCCGCCACTAGCCTTTTCCGCGCACTTTGTCCTCACTTGTGCGCGCCCTGAGAAACTTCCCAGGGGGTCACCCATCCCAAGACTACTCCCGTGCAAGCACACTTAACTTTAGAGTTCTTGGCTAATGAGCTCCCTTAAAAGGAGATGCACCTTGTTGGTATGAGTAGTACTATTAATCCATTTAAATTAAATCTCAAGTGTTACACTGCCCTCAGCAGAATAAACAAACAACAAACTACCCACAACTCTACAAACTACAAACGGAACAACGGCAAAGGACAAACACAATTACTCTTTTCCCCTCAAGTACCTTTCGGCAAAAGGAGTGAGGGACTCCTGATGGAGTATATGGCCCGGGAACCCCCGGCCCACAGACTCCTACTACTCCAATAAAGGCCCAACATGCCCAGAAGGCCCAACAGGCCCAAATCACGGCGCCCAGAGTACCAAGCAGCCCACAATGCGCACCAGGGGTGCCTTCGCCCCCTGGCCGAAGGCTCTAACTCTCACAGGAGGGCCAACACAGCAAAACAAAGTTACTGGGAAAACGGCGAAAATCAGTAGCCCTCGGCACCTGGAGCCCTCGGCACCCAGGGGGTCCCCGGTACTCAGAGCCCTCGGCTAGTCCTCTACAGCCGAGGGCACCTTTCCCGACATGATATCCGCGCCACATGCGTACAGATCACCGTACCCTGTACAACGTCCCATCCAACAGCCGCATTAAATGCGGCCACATGCGGCTGCCAGCGCCAACCAGTTGAGGTGACCTCTCGGCCAATGGACGCTTGACACGTGTCCCTGTCCGGCATTTATTGCTACTATAAATAGCACCCCATTTCCCCATTTGTAACCAAGTCATAATACGCTGAATACTTTCTAATATACTTTCTCTCTCTACTTACTTGCTCTGACTTCTCTCTTGTTATTCCTCGTAATAACCCCTCGGATAAGCTACCCCCCGGGTACACTATCCATCAACATGTGTGAAATAAAAGCTACAAAATTAACATCACATCGTACTTTTTATTCTGCACATTTCAGTTTCACATAGTGCACATTTGAATTTCACCTAATGCACAATTCAACTTCCCATTATGTCACTGCAGCGTACTCTTTGTGTTGCACATTCCAATTTCACCTAATACACATTACAGTTTCATCTAATGCACACTGAATATCACTAAAAGCAAATCTAACGATCCAGATTCATTCTCATTTCTCTCCTAAGATCATGTTCTTATTTGAACTAAAAACTATATATATATATATATATATATATATATATATATATATATATATATATATATATATATGATCAGGTCCAAACGTTCAAACCAGGGCCTCCGTCCGAAAACCGCCGTTCAGGGCGGTTCCCGGTCGAATGTTTTAATGAAATTTTTGTGGTACGTTCTTCATTAAGTCTAGTTTATCCACAAAACAATTCAGCTCAAAATTCGATCGAAAGGTCTTCAAATGATTTTTTGAAGTTGATTGCGTTTTTCTATGTATAATTTGGCGCAGTCAACTTCAAAAAATCATTTGAAGGCCTTCTCGATCGAATTTTGAGCTGAAATTTTTGTGGATAAACCAGACTTGATGAAAAACATACCATAAAAATTTCATCAAAAAATTCCACCGAGAACTGCGCCAAACGGCGGTGTTCGGACGGTGCCTCCTGTCTGAACGTTCGGACATGATAAATTCTCTCTCTCTCTCTCTCTCTCTCTCTCTCTCTCTCTCTCTCCTTCTATATATATATATATATATATATATATACATATATATATAACTTTAACAATGAAAATGAAGAAAACAACTAGTTTTACGTTAAAATAAAACCTATACGTGTTTGTATTTTTTTAATTTAATACTCCGTAGTAATATTTATTACACGATGAAGTTAAGTGAGTAGATATATTAAATATAATATATTATGAAATGTGACAACTCTATCATTCATGTATGTTATTCATGTATGTTAATGTGTATATGTGTGTATATATTCTTTATAAACACACAAACACAAATTTACAAATCATATTTAATTTATGCAAAAACATTGAAAACTGTAATTTTTAAATCTACGACTAGTCCTCACCTATGCGTCCGCTTAGCGACCTAGGCGCTAGGCGTAGGGCTGACGCCCGACTAGTGCATTTAAGAACATTGTGTAATAGTATATTAGCCTAGTAGGAAGAGACTAGGAGTAATATTTACTTGTTTTTCTGCTTAGGTACTAAATA